CATCACCGTCTCAGCAGATTAATTTACTGCAACCTGTAAATTTAATAAACAACGCTAGCAGTGTTATGCAAAATTTCCCCGCTTTTCAACAATTCATCGTGCCAAATCTTGGCGGTATGGTTATGACTGCTGATGGCGCTATTATTCAAGATAATTCTACTGGAATGCCTATGCAATTACAGTTGCAGACTGTTAATGGTCAGAATGTTTTAACCCCCGTTCAGAATCCAGGAGTATTTGCAGCGGGTGCTAACGGCGGGGTTGTGATTCGAGCTCAAAATCAACAAGGAAAGATAATCCAATCGCAACACAGTCCTGGTGCTCAATTTTTATCTCCAAATAATCAAGTAATGATGAGTAGTCCAAATTTTAATGGGCAACTAAGTCCATTACTTGCTAATTTGAGCCCCACTAATGTTGCGTTCAATAATTCTCAAGTCAGATCGGGTAACGTCCAGGCACAGGAGTTCATTCAAACGAATCAGATGGGACAAACTTTGATGGTTCCTTTATCTCCGAAACAAGTTTCAATAGCTTCAGGATCGAATAATAGAAGTAACTCGACTTTCGTACAGCAGAATACCACAATAGTGCAACAACAGACGACCCTTGTCTCTAATTCTCACAACACCCAGATGTCGTCGATATCGACGAACTTGCAAGGCGGCAATTCGCGCTTGAGTATCGATCCCAACGTTCTACTCGGCCACAAGCAAATTACAGGTCAGAAAGCGAGGACCTTCGTCGAGATCCCGCAGGAAAACTGCCAGCTGGAGGAGACCAAAGATGACAAGCATCATCCTGTTTTCAACCAAATGTCTTCCGATGGCGAGATCAAGCTGGAAAATTCAGACGGGTATCCGAAGTTTATGAGCGAGTTCGGTCCCGCGATGGGCCCGGGCGGGGGACCGGGGCAGGCGTTCGGGTCGTACGTGCGGCACTCGGTGTCGACGCAGACGTTGGTGAACCAGCAACGCGGCAAGTCTCCGCCGCAGGCGGGCGGCGGCGCGGCGGCGGGCGGCGGCGGCGGCGGCGGCGGCGGCGGCGGCGGCGGGAGCGGCTGCAGCCCGCCCGACACCACCACGCTGAGCCCGCTGGGCGCGCCCGAGCCGGCCGCCAGCCCGCGGCTGCCCGCGCACGCGCGCTGCCTCTCCACGCAGGCCAACTACGCCGACACCACCACCAAGTCGCCTATAATAAGTACTTACTATATTATTATGATAAATTATAAACAAGAAAACCATATTATTCCAGTAATACTTATTTAGAAAGTGTTGCGCTGATTCTGAGCCGCTCGACGCTAACTCGTCCGTGAGTATCTCGAAGCTTGCATATTATAACTAAAAAATACATGCTCAGTGTTTAGATTTTTTAAATATACTGGATTAGTCACGAAAGATATACGAAGTCGCCTATGCTAGTATTCATAAACCTGTATGATATTTCAAAACATCAAGAAATTTAAGGTCTATTATTATTAAGCAATTCAGTTGAAAATTCATTTCTTTTGTTCTTTTGTTGAATGTAGCTCTTTTCCATGAATTTCGCCTTGGTATACCTTTTACGACATCTAACTACCCTTCTTAATACCGAAAACTGAATTGACAGAATAAAATAATTAATATTTTAACTTTTAGTAAATAAACTAAGTTTGTACAATTTATGTCTAAATCTGCTTTGTCTATAATCTAATACATTTAGAAATGTAATCGTGTGTATAAAGCTTTTTCCTAGTAAACATAATCAAAGTATAGTAAGTGCAACGTTAAGTATGTTTATGTAACATATAGTAGGCTTATAGCACACATCAAATTATGTGCTTTAAATTTTATTATTATTAACAAAAGTTATTCTAAACCGCAGAATTCATCAAAATGTCAATTCTGAAAGGAGTTAATGTTTTTTTAGTTATGTAACAGAATATAAAAACTTGTATCTTAAAATTTTTATAAAGTATATTTTGAATAAAACTTTAATTCTTTAGTGTGTTAGGTTTTTTGTCGTATGTAGGTTCGCAGTTAATTTTAAAATTACTTGAGGTATGTACTTACATACGTATATCATTGGTTTAGTATTCAATACGAAAATGTGTACTTTTACAGGCTATGGTTCAGTGCGTGTCGAGCAGTGAGCAGGATATGGCTGAGTCACGAGAACAGTCGTGGTCTACGCCTCGTAATGACTTCAATTCTGATAATGAAACCCAAAGCTCCTTAACCGATAGCCGATTTTTTATCACGCGTTACGACATATCGTCGTCGGGAGAAAAAAAAAAAGTACTGTAACATAGTACATAGATACATAGGTACATTAGCCGTGTCTGTAGACTGTAACAATATTATACCTACATGAATTTTCGATTGTACAAGTTCGATACAGTTATATATCTATTATGTTATCTTTGCAAAACAGATGTCATGTAGACCGAATTCTCTGCCATAAGTTAAAAACTTGTATCTTAAAATTTTTATAAAGTATATTTTGAATATGAAACAAAGTAAGTTTTATGTATGGAAATAAGTATTGAGCGGAGTGCGAAGCGCGGATCGATCTTATAGATCAGATTTGCACTCTTTGTGTTCTTAAATTTCATCGAAGGTCGACTTTCATTCCTTCATAGTTTATCACTAAAAAAAAATTTTTGTTGAGATTTGAGTTGAGTTGAGTTACCATAGACAACATGACTCAACATGTGACCTGGTGTGTAAACAGCATATAGGTAACAAACCTAGTATTATTGTATTAAAATACAAATCGGGTTAAAACCCTCAATGCAAAATAATGGATGTTATAAGTTTGTCGCTTGTGTCTATCTATCATAATATCTCCAGACTATGATGCTTTTTTATAAAGATCATGTGATTTTCGATTAGGGGATTGATTAGCTATTTAGGATTAGGATTAAGTTTTATAATTATTATTTAATTTGATATTACTTTATTATTGTTAGATAATATATAGTCTATATATTACGTATGTAAATATGGATACCATTTTTTGTATCCACCACTGTAAATCGAGAAACATCATTGATTGTGCCTTATTAAGTAATGGAACGAGAGAAAGTAATAATTTATATATTCGATAAAAAACAGTATTGTATTTCTATCGGTAGCTTAGTGACCATTGTACACTCTTTACTTATTTTGGAACGCTAAGGTCGCTGTGCCTGTTCTTACTATAAAGTAAAACTAAAGATGATGAATATACCACATGTGTTTTATCACATTTTATTTGTAAATAAATGTAATATTTTTGAAAATATTCAGACATCAGTGTTATAAAGAGAGTTGAATAATTTAACTACCGAGCTTTGAATTTGGTATGTTCTTTATAATAATTCTGTAATTTTATATTAATAGGTGATATACTTATATATATTAATGGTAGTTATACGTGATATATGTATATAAGCTTTACGGAGGGGCGTATATCATAAAATTGTTTGTCTAATTAATATTATCTTAATTGATTGTTGATTAATTAAGTCTTCCTAATTGATTTAATGTATACAAATAATTAATTATTATTAATATAAATAATTGTATAATTGAAGTGTCTGTTGGTGTGTGAAAATGTATATAAATTATTACAAATAAACAAACATTAATACAAACAAAGAAGTATTAAATAATTCTTTGTTTGTATTTCTGTTTGTTCTTGCTAAACTCTGAACCGAGTGGACCGATTTGGACGGGGCTTTAACTTTATTTTAGATATTTTATTTATTTTAATAAAAAGAGAAAGTTAAAATCCACTCGATCATTACGAAGTCGCTAGCTAATAGCTACTTCATATTAATTGCGTAATGCATAAGGTTGAATAACGAATCAATAAAACATCAAAATGCCTCCGAACGTGTTTACTAATCTGACTCTATTTACACAGAAAGAAAATACTGTGTAAATAGATTAGTTATTACAAAATATATGAATTATATTTCATTAACTGTTGTTGTTGTCTGACAATTATTAAGCTAATGGTAGTACGACGTATAAGCATGATTGAATAACATTAATCTACCATTATTACATTGCAAGTGCTTTTGGGCAGATTTTTTTTTTTTATATTTTCAGATATGATGTCTAGCGTTCCACTGGTACGACAGAACCGCACCCACAGTTCTGTTGAATCTACTGAAGTGCACTACAATATGAGTGTAAATCCGTCACCCGTAAATAACCAACATCAATTGGAATTACATTCAGTTGGGTCCAGTTACTACGACAGACCGCAGGGCTATAAGCGCAAGAACGACTTTGGGGATGGATCCAGTTATAGAACAGACAAAATAATGAGGTCTAATTATGGTATGGTTCACGGAATTCCAAAAGACTCCGACTACGACACAATGTCCATTACTTCGCCTGAGAAAGTGCAAGCGAGACATTTCCCTCAGTCGGGGACAAGTACAGACACGTCTGCTATTCAAAAAGTTTTTGACAGACATAGCTTAGGTTCCAGTGATGGTAAGTGGTGCTTTCTATGGGTGTATTGATCTTGCTACGCTTTGGATTCTTTGCTATCTATTTTAAACTTTTCAATGCAATCTGGACCTATATACGTATATTAAATATAGCTATATATTATGCTGAGAATACTGACTGCAAAAGCAGTATATGTATTGTATATATACAAATATATATTACTAATTTTGTGAAAAAAAAAATTAAATGTTCTATATTTATGTACTGGCACCTTCCTAACAATGAGTACACTACTTTGAACAGTATTCCCTTGTTGATATGTGTGCAATGACTCCTTCTAAACTGTATCACTTTACAATTGAAAACTGTTGCCCACAGTATACTAATATATCCAGAACATCTCACGCTTTAGCCACAGCTAACAAAATTCTAAATTATTACAATGTTGTGTCTTGTATTGGTTTTGGATTGACAGTCACGCCAGCGATCATAATAAATTGAATTTATATGTTTATAATATTAAATGAATACATAACAATGTGTATTGTGGTATGTTATTTCAGCTTCTACATAATGCGATACTATTGGTCATTGGTTTTCTTTTGGTTGGGTTAATACAAGATACAGCTGTTAATAAAGGGTGTACTGGAAACTAATCAGAATAAAAAAAGTGACGTGCAGCGTTCAAACGTTCTCACCCGGCTTTCTGTCGCTTTCCATTGCACCACACTCGAAGTAACAAAATTGGCTCACAAATTGGGATTCCATTACTAACGCATCATTGTAAAGCCATCATCATTTCATCTGATCATCATTGTAAGTAAAGCACATTTTTTCCGTATTACCTTATTTTTTACGGTCGAGGGATCGAATTAATTATATTAAGTATTTTTCTAACTTTCGATACTCGAAATAATTTCGTATTGTAAAAAAAAGAATACTAGTACAAAAATAATGAGATTATACACATTCTAACTTCGTAGCGTAGAAGCGTCGCGGTTGACATATTATGGAGACGGAAGTGTCGTGAGGAATCTAACCGCGCGTGTGTCAGTAGAGGGGCGGAGGTCGGAGGAGGGCGCGGGCGAGGGCGGGCGGCGGTTCTCCGCGGGCGACGTGGTGTGGGGCCGGTGGCGCGGGTTCGCGTCGTGGCCGGGCGTGGTGCAGGCGCGCGGCGCCGACGGCCGCTGGCGCGTGCGCTGGTTCGGAGCCGCCGCCGCCGCCGCGCTGCCCGCCGCGCGCCTCCTCACGCTCAGCGAGGGGCTCGAGGCGCACCACGCCGCGCGCTCCAACCTGCGCAAGTACGTACACCACACGCACACTGTACGCCTGTACACGCCTCTACACGCCTCTACACGCCGGTACACGCCGGTACACGCCGGTACACGCCTACACGCACACTTATACACGCATGCACACGCACATATACACTGCTTGTTATTGAAGTTTTACTAGATATATTTCCTAATAATAAATATAACCTATGTTACTCAGGATTATTCTAACATTATATTGGTGAAAGACATTTTGTAATTGGAAAATCGGTAGTTAATTTGTTACTAACATGCAATGATACAAATGTAAGAAGACATTTGTATTATTGTATGTTAGTAACTCTAGTTCATCTTGGTTGGTCTATATCTGACAGCAGTTATAGTTATGTGTGTTTCTGCCGACCGGCCACCGTTTGGGTACATTACAATCTGTCGCCAAAATAGAACCGTGAAGACATGACGTCATTTTATTTAATTTTCAAAACAAAATTCCACTTCTCCCAAAGCAAACAGAAAACAGCTTTAACGCAACCAACACATCTTATAATATTAATGAGCATGAATAATGGGTTTGCCAGCGCTAATGGTATTTGTTGGTAGAGGATAAGTAAATTATGATTAAAATGAGAACGAAGGGAGGTTAGCCCATCGCAACGAATTCACCAGGAATTGACTATGATAGTTTCTAGACGGACTATGATGGTTTCTAGACGAGACCTCTTATGGTATCCTGACGTGGTACGTGTTTGTAATAAGGTTACAAGTCCTTTATACCGAACAATATTTATTATTTACTAAATATTTACCGTGTTCACAATATCGGACTTAATAATGATTTCTACTTTATTTATTGTTGCAGGAGTAGGAAATTGAACGTGCTCCTAGAAAACGCTATCCAAGAAGCGATGGCTGAGCTCGACAAGAAGAGCGCTCGTGGTGCAGGGGCTGCGGTAGAAGGGGAAACGAGCACGGTGGAAGACTTGGCGGAGGCGGCCACTAGGACGGAGGCGGACGAGGAGTGCGCGCAGGGAACTAGAACCCGCGCCGCTCGCGCCCGCACTCGTCGCCGCAGAAAGAAAGCCGTCAACCCGGCTAAGCCCGCCGAAACTACACGATTACGCAGTTCCCGATGACCACGTTGCACACTGACGGTACGATTAGTTTCTCATTGTATAGAGATAACCACGCTTATTAGCAGCGGATCCTTAAATTACGTATCAATTTTTTATCGTACATGCAAACTTTATAACGCCTTATTGTTTAAAATAGTATTCAATAATGCCGTTTAATGAAAAATAATTATGTCGAGTTGATTGGTTGTTTTATAAAAAGTCATCATTTCGAGGTAAGTACATTAATAAATAAGATAGCATTTCTGTTGAGTGATACAGTAAGTTGTTCCAAAATAAGAATTCTGCGAAGGATATTCTGTTGGTCATTTTCGACACGATGTATGAATTCTAACGCATTGTTAATCGAATTAGGGTAGTTCAATTTGACATAATTCAGATGAATGTTTATTATAGATTATTATAGACTACATTGGAAAATTTTCAACATGAATATGTATTCCATATTGGGTGCTACCACAAAACGCCACAAATATCACTCGAAACTAGCTCATGTATAATGATATTTATTAAATACATAGGTATTTGGAATATTTCTGCGATTAAATTGTATCACAATTAGTATTATCAGTATTTAGATGTTACTGATACGTAGTTAACATAGTATATTAAAACACTAGTTAGTGAAATATTGAGATTGACTGTTTGGAAATTGGATACTATTATTTATGTTTTTAAAAAGTACTAGGTAGTGATTAATCATTCCGTATTATATATGTGGAGATTCGTTAGGATTTTAAATATCGTCTCTGTAAAATGGTTTTAAAATCGGATCAAAATTCCCTTTGGGCATTATAGGTTCCTAATATGTTTGTGGACAAGCTTCCATGTATGTATTATACTATAAATACATACTGTAAATTAGACATTTACTAAAATTTTATAGTGTAGATAATAATTAGGTGTGGCAATTGTGATTTTAAATCATTATTGTTACAAGTTATTTTATAAGAATATTTTATAAGAGAAGTAGATTGATGTCAATGTAATTATTATAAATTATTAAATTGAATTCCATACCTGTCATCGATGTATTGTACAATTTATGATAAAATGTAAATTGATAAGAAATTATGCTATATGTTGTGTAAATTTATGTGTTTTGTTAGAGAGTAATAAGTATAACATGATTTCTAGTCAAAATATTGAGCATATTAAAATGTAGATATTATAGAAAAGGTAACTGACAATAACACTGGCCTGGCGTTCGTTGACATCGCGTAATACCTGTCGACATTGTTTCGATTACATAATAAATAAGTACACACTTTTTTATACTTATTATTATAGAACTTGTTTGCGTTATTAATTTTATACTTTTGTTATTGTATTAAAATGCTAGAATTAATAGAAAAATGTGGTACATATACTGTAAATGAATATCAAGTGATGCGAATCATAAGAATGATCTAAATAGATGCTATGATAAATTAGATGCAGAGTTGTATTAACTAATAATTTTATACATTTTGTACGTTGTTGTAACAAACTATTTGGAACAAACTAGGCCTATACGTTAATTTAGTTGTATGACATTACGCGACTTTTGAGAGTAAACAAAGAATAATCTGAACAAATATTTGAAAATTATAGAGCAAGTTATGTGATTTGTAACATAATGTTATAGTCACCGGCATCGTGGCCGAAATCGGCCGGGATTACATCATAGTCACCATTTTACAATATATATACATTTTATACATTCATCTCTTCTTCAACATTATGTTTATTTTCATAACGTCTAAAATGCAGATGAACACGATAGGTTATGATTGTACATATTTCGAAATAGCAAGTAACGAACTTTATTTTCAAAATATTATTTTATTATTTACTATTTTAGGTCTGCTTATTAATTAATAATTGACACGTAGATATTTTAAAATATAATAGAGATATTATACAATACCGCAGGAGCATAACCTCCTTATGCCTCTGCGGTATTGTATCTCAATCGCAATCAAGCTTGAGATATATGTTCCGACTGTAACTACTTTCGCAATCTTCCTCTAAATGTTTTCAGTCATAGATCTTAAGCAAATTATATGTTTTTAGATTTATACCTTTTGGATATTGAATATGGATGTTTTATAACTGTGATTTGCACTTTAGACGTTATTTTACTCTATAATATTTTTTACATTTAACCAAGTACATTTAAGTACATTTCTTACCAATAATTTTTCTATACTGTTTTTAGACTTATAACTATTATTATGACTATATATCCCAGTCATAATAATAATAGTTATAAGAATTAAGTTTCTATGTTAGTTTTGTGAACATGGGAATAATAATATTTAATGGGCATAAAGTATAAAATATTATATACTTATACATTTGAGTTGTATTATATTTTTGCTTTTGATATACATCCATATTTTTGAAGAAATGATGTCCGAAAGAATTAGTACATAACTATTAATTATTTAATATTATTATAATATTTTGCCTTCAAATTAATTACTAAGAAAGTTTAAAGATTACATCACTAAAATATCACAATCTAAAGTTAAAAATAACTCAATGTCTTCATCATTTATACTTTTATGTAATTCTAATAGCCATCATTACGTCCAATTAAAAAGCTGAAAGATAAAACAAATATACCGGATTCATAGATTAAGAAAAAATGGAAATATATTATATATAACTGATTATTACAACATTAGTCAGTACAATGTTCTCGATTTCTCGTTATATTTAAATTTTTCCTTACCCTTGTTTTAAGACTTAGTGGTATGTATTCAGTCGTAGGTACTTATAAATGAAAGAATAAAAAAGCATCAGCGATATAATTTAAATATCTCAGTAATAATGTCTCGAAGGTAATATAGTTCATATTTGTCTTTCAGTGAGGTTCTAATTGATTATTATTTTCATTCGAGATATTAATTTATTATTATGGGCATATAGGTAGTCTGTGAAATAGACTCTATAAGTCGCTGGGATAGTGCTTAAATTATGACAATGATACTCATTGTTCTATTTAAAAGTAAAAATGAGGTTTATAAATAAATTTGTGGTACAAGGGAGATTATTTTAGAGAATTTCAGAATGCTTTTTTTAATCATATTGAAATTACATATTTAAGTAACATGATAAAAGATTTTCTAAAGAATTTTAGGTACAATGTTAACTATAGGTCATGTCATAGCATGCGTACATTTTAACAGATAATTTGTTATCGACAGTCATTGTTAGATACTATCAATGTGCAAAACTACTTTATGTGATCTTTTTATATGTCCGGTAAATAATATATCAAGGAATTATCATAGCTTACTGTTTTTATATTATCGTATTTTAACCTTAGAGATTCCACATAAAATTCCTAAATGATAAATGTGACTCCAGATATCGATATAGTATTTAATGTTAAATGAATATTGTTTATTATATTGATAGTCAGATAGCACTTCCCGTGAGATGGTATTATGTACATAATCTTATTGTAGTTATGTATAGTATTTTATTTCAATGAAATTAATGTTTTATAGACTAATATACAATATAAGATTATTTATTTGTTTTGCTGTGTACATATTTTTTTCAATAAAATGTACCTGTTTTATTTAAATCTATTATTTCTTTTAATACTCTAACCATTCAAACACTGTCATACATTATATATATTTTGCCAGGAACAATTACAAACTCAGCTGACGCAAACTATACGAGTACTAATATACATGTATAGCTGAAGGGTTTATTTGTTTAAACGTTTTAATCTCGGAACTACTACTTCGGATTAAAAATATTTTAGTGTTGAATTGCCAATTTAGAAGGACCAGAAAGGTTATATAAGGCTCTATAACATCACGCTGAGATGACTAGGGCCGGAGCAAGTTCGAATAGCTGAGTTTTTAGGACTACTCTAATGCTGTTGGCCTGGGGGGAAGGGTATTATTAGTAATGTGGACTCATAGCCCTATTGCTAGCAATGTGCTATGTCAGGTTGACACCCAGGCGGTTCCCCCTGGAAACCATCGTGATAAATTCCACAAATTTGTCACAATGCTAATCCGTTAGCGCAGACGGGTGCACCATTCTATAATTATTATTTAAATGAAATAAATTGCTATTGGCCGCTAGCTGGCCTTTTGATACAAAACGATATAGACCATAAGGAAATATTGATTTAATTCAACTAAATGCTAGTAAGATATACATGTTGAAATGTTACAATATGATAAGACAATAGAAAATAAATCATAGTATTAAAGGAGTTTCTATACTACCACATTCACCCATCCTTATGATTCATAATCATTTAAGTAAGCAGGGGGCCTACTTTCACGAACAGGCCGTTGGGGCGAATGAACTACTTCTGAACTGGAATTATCAGTATTTAAATTCTCATTCTCAGATGCTGTCTGGTAGATCTCGGCATCTGTATCAGAAGAGTTATGAATGGAGTTATCCGTTTCATCTTCAGTGACTACTTTTTCAATTTGCCTTTTAATTGGCGCTAGATATCGGTTTGATACTGTGTCTTCTCTCCCATCAGCAAAGGGTATTATATAATAGTTTGGATTTGATTCCAGCAGTACCACCTCTTCCACTAAAGGATGATATTTACTTTTTCTTACATTTTTACTCAATAGTACTGGGCCCGGAATCATTAGCCTAGAAGGTAAAGAAACTCCGTTATCAGATCGTCTTGGGAAACACATCTCATGTGCTGTAGCGTTAGTAGCTGTGCATAATAACGATCGAATTGAGTGCAGCGCTAAAGGCAAGACATCTTCCCAATACCTAATATCTAGGTTTTTGGATCCTATGGATATTTGTATAGTTCTCCACAGAGTCCCATTCAGTCTTTCGACCTAGCCATTTCCTTCTGGATTATAAGGCGTAGTCCTGCTGCAAGCAATATCATTGCTTATTAAGAAATCTTTAAAATCTTGTGACATAAATCCAGTTCCACGGTCTGAATGAACATAGGGAAGGAGCCTCAAAAGTAAAGAAAAGGTACTTTAAACTTGCTATTATAGTAGCGGATGATACATCTTTGCAGGGGTAAAGCGAAATCGAGAAAATTCATCAACAATAGTTAAAATGTATTTATTTTCGGAATTTGAAGACAACGGCCCTTTGAAGTCTAAACTAAGTCTTTCAAATGGGTTTCTATACTACCACAGATTTACAGTTTCAACGGACGATAGGTGGCGAGTGCAGATAGCACTCCAAACCCCCCATCCATGTGATTTATGGGGCGGCTACAGAGCAACTCCCGCCTGACCGATACGACTATAGTTTGAGGTCAGCGTTAGGGGTTTGAACCTAAGCTCGTAATTTCGATCTCCCTTTGAATTGGACGGAGCATCTATCGGAGGGAAGCAATTGAGTGTGCACGGTCAAACGTGGCTAGAAAGAGACAGAAAAGTTTGTGAGTAAGGAATGTGAAAGTTATATCTAATTCCTACACCCATTTGAAAGATTCTTCTGAAAAAAATGTTACATGTGTCTATCAGTTGTCCATTTGCCTGGGCGATGGCGCTGTGTGAACAGTCCAGGGTTATTATTATTATTATTATTTTCACCTTCCTTCTTAATTCTTAATTAATATAGGCTGGTAGGGGAATGGGAGTAATGTGGCCTCATGATTCCATTAATATCAATATTCCATGTCAGGTTGACCCCCACAATATTCCCCCTGGTAACCATCGTGATAAATTCCTGAGCTGACTTCATTCTCATCTTATAATCCTCCACTGGTGCCCCACTAGCGTAAACTGTTAGCGCAGACGGGTGCACCATTCCATTATCATCCCAAAGAAAAATATAGGATGGTATATATAGTACTGCGATAGTGTAACTCTTATTATTATATATGTTTATATTCAATTTGCTAACAAAACTTTCCTTGCCTAACTACTTAGTTGTAGGTATAGATATATCACATAATAATACTGTACTAGTAGTATAGCTAAGTTTGAGTGCTACAATAATAAATAAATGATAATGTGTTTGTTTTGATGTGCCCACTTCCACTGTTGGCGTACGAGGGCAAAAGCTGGAGTGACATTTATGTCTACCTATACAGCATGACCAACGTAATGAGGTCTCTTCTTCAAAGATACTTCATTGTTTGACTATACTACTTTCATTTGGTATGTAGGTTTCTTTTTACAATGGTTATACTTATAGTAAACAAATTCCGGTTGGCAAGTTTAAACATTTCCTCGGCCGTTACTCGCTAGAGTCGTGTCCTATGGTCCGTGAAGTTATTGCCTTCACGACTTATTGACGGCCCA